CTTGTCAGGTACCTATTTCACAAGACAAGGCTCCATTGGTCCACACATGTTTATTAACTGTGAAGCCACAGACTTTGCTAGATGGGATGTGAGAGAGTCAACAGTTCAGTATTTGTGTTTGAGCATGGTGAAAGGCCTGCTGCATGGCTGAGCTGAGCCATAAAAACAAAACAACAACAAAAATCCCCCAAACAAACAAACAAAAAACAGTTAAAAGGCCAGAAGAGAAGAAAAGGAAACCTCATTTGCCCAAGAAGAGATGCAGGGGAGAATGTGCCTTGGTTCAAAACCTCCAACATATTATTCATGAACAACCCAGGGAATCCAGTGGCAGGTGGCAAGACTGAGGCTGAGAAGTGGGCAGGGGCAAGGCCGTGAGAGCCACTATTCCATGCTGAACAGTTCAGAGTTGATCTGGAGACAATGGGGAGTCAGTGAAGTGTTAAGACACAGGTGAGAGTTTCTGAAAAGTCTTTCTAGAAACGTGTGAGAACCAAGATCAAAGAGAAGAAAAGTTAGAAGAGGATTTTTTTTCTTCTTCATTTTCTTAAGAAAAATAGGGAATATAGCTAATTGTCATCATTTAATTTTCTAAGTACATCAATTGGCCACTTAGTAAATGCTGAATAAATTATGTGGTAGACAGAACAGATCACAAAGATCAGCGGGACTAAGAAAATCTGAAGTTCTAAAGAAGAAAATAAAGAGAATCTTGTAATGCCTAAGAGTCAGTGTCATGTCATTTGCTGGGTTTATTCTTGGTCTTCTCCCATTTGTTCTTTCTAAATTGTATCCAAGACCAATTGACTAACTTGAAGATTATGCAAAACCATAAGGATTTAGAACTGTACCTACACACTTCAAGAGTCACAATTTCAAAACTTCACATATGCCAAGAGGTTTCTTGGTTTTGTTAGGTACCTTCAAGTCAAATATGGCTCATAGCAACCCTATAAACAGTCGACTTTAACCCTTCCCTATCCTGTACCTATAATTTCAGATACACTGGAACCCATTACTGAAGTCGCTGTGTTGATTTCATCTTGTTAGAAGTCTTCACTCCTTCACTGACCTTCCATCTTTCCAAGCACAATGTCTCTTTCCAAGGAATTGACTACCCTCACTACATGTCAAAATATGAGAGATAAAGCTTTGCCATCTTTGCCTCCAAGGAGTATTCTGGCTTCCATTTTCCCAAATATATCTGTTTGTCTTTTGGCAGTCCATAGGATTTTCAAAACTTTTTTCCATCAGCACAACTCAAAGGCATCAATTCTTCCAGCATCTTTATTTGTTGTCCAGCTCTCTGATGCTGGACTGTCTAAAGGGGCCATTGTTGATGATGCAGATGATACAATCTTGCTTGCTGAAAGTGAGGATATGAAATGCCAGCTGCAGAAGATCAAGGACTTCAGTATGGATTGCATATAAACATAAAAATAGCAAATGCTCTCATCACAGAACCAAAAATCAACATTCTGATAGAGAAAGCTGTCAATAATTTCATCTTGCCTATATTCACAATCAACACCCTTGGTACCAGCAGTCAGGAAATTAGGAGACATATTGCATTAGATAAGTCTGCTATGAGGGAACTCTTCAGAATACTGAAGAGCAATGATGTCTATTTGAAGACTAATGTGTGCCTGATTCAAGCCATGGTCTTCTGAAGTACCTGCTATATATCATAGAGCTGGAAAATGAATAAGGATGCCAGGTTTCTTAGTATTTAGGCTAAAACATCTTTTAAAAATAAAGCTATTGGCAA